AGCCATACAGAAAAATCAAAATGAGTCAAAGCATGAGAAGGTCGTAACTTTCGCCGTCAGACTCATATCTGAGTCCGGGTTAGTTCTGCATTGTAGCAGTTGTCAGCCATTGTTTGAAGCGGTCATTGGATAAACCAGTCGATTTCTAGTTCAGTTTTCGTCACTTAGCTGATGTCCTTTTTGTAGTGACTTGATAAGATCCTTCTAAAGCCTTGGTGTCCTTTGACGTCATGTATTGGAGACCGTCGCCAAGCTCCTTGAGATGTCAGCGGAATTTATTCAGTGTTCAGTGTCGGGAAACAAAATCACCTTGACTTGCACCTTTCGATTTTGGACCAGTTCAGTAGGGTTTTTTTGTAATCTTATGGCACCTAAAGGCTTGCTGTTTTACCGTTTTAGTAAGATAGGAAAAAAGATAATTTACATCCGTTTGAAAATCGACCTCCATGGTTGGATTCTGTTTGTGGGCCTGCCTTTTTTGTAGCCCACGTTGCGGTGCTAATCATTGTTGCTCTGTCATCTGTAGACAATCTTGGTAATTTTCTATAGTCTTGCTTGTAATTACGTGATCCGTGTGTTTTGTAGAGTCCTGTTTTTTTCCATAATGCGAGGTATTCATTTATCTGCCTCAGAGACATGAAGGACAAAGATAGAACTCACAGTTGTGACTCACATTTTGTGCAAACTATTCGACCTTGCTGCCGATGATACCATTTATAACGCCGCACTATTGCCTACTGTTCTTCATAATGGTCAGGTTAGCCGGGCGTATCAAACGTAGCCTTGAAATCGGTGAATTGTGCGTATCACAAAGGTTGGTTTTTAAGGTGCTGATTCATAGTAATGCTGAGTGACAGTATGTAATAATTGTACATACTGAAATGTGGCTGATTGCTTCATTGCCTTTTCATCTTGAATGCTTAATGGATAACGTCAATAATGACTTTCTCATACAAAGTGACTCTCGATAACTGACACAGTCTGCCGGTTCCACATCTGAAGACGGGGACTATAATTTCATTCTTCCTCAAGGGTTCTGTCTCAATGCTTTGAGTCACATTTGCGAAATTTAGCATGACCAGGGCTTTCTTCCCTTTCAGTGGTTCTCACATGCGGCTGAATCGCATGTCTAAGAAGGGCTCTGTACAAATAGGAAGGATTTGTGAATAATTGCCATCGATGCGTAGTAGTTTCGGTAGATCAACTACATTCATGAATAATGTGTGAGTTTTAGTTCACAATCGACCATCCTTGCTACGAATCAGGATTTTGACAGCATTTCTTGCCTGCTCAGTTCGTGGAGTATTTGGTAAACTTTGAATGACTTAACATTGCCAAGAGTAGCAACCACTCGTTCCGCTAATCATTGAAATAAAATCGTTAGTTTATAGATGCTGTAGCATTGGAAAGCATTTAAGATTGCCGGTTTCTTCACAGACCACCGAAGTTTGTTTTCTTGACAATTGGGCATTGATAGATTAAAACTGCATCAAAGCGTTGCATCATTAATCATCAGTTCCGCTTGTTTGATTTTGCGACCATAGCTCCAACGACCTACGGTTTTTGGTGATGCAAAGGTGTTGTATTGTTACATAACCACTGGGTTTATTTGAGCAGTCTCTAGTGCATATATTTAGTGATCACCGCTTTTTAGCTTAAACAAGTTACAATGAAATTGAATGTTGGACGGCGACAAGTAAGTCAGTAAAGGATGTGGAGACGAGAAGGTTGCTGTTTGCACATGGCCTTTTTTATTGGCCTCTTCTGAAACCGATTTGCAGTACTCCCTG